TATCTGTTACTTGTTCTTTTAGTATTTCTTTATTTCTTCACTTTTTTCGGTGTTGCATTAGCATAAGCTAGCCTTTCTTTGCAACAACCATGCTTGCAAAAATAAAAATTCAGTTCAGTTCAGTTCAATTGAAAGAGTTTTTTGCCCATGTTAATGTACCAGATTAGAACATGGATAGACAGGGGGAATGTTCAGCAACGGAAGAAGAATATCTCATAGAAAATTCTTTCTCATAGAAAAAATGCTTTTGAGTTGAATTCGTTTGTTATGGAATAGAGACTCTTGAATTGTGGTGAACTTCATGGATCCAGATCTTGTTCTAAATTATGAACTTGAGTTTGAAGGATCAAAGGATTGTTTGAGAGAAGATTTATTTACTTGATTGGGGATATGTCTACAATATGAATCCCGGCAACTTGCTAATATTCCCTTCGGACACTTGTCCTCCGCGTTTTACTCGTCGGATATTTGCCCCCAGCGGACACTTGCCCGCCCGGAAAGTTGCCTCGTCGATAAAAGCGAACACTTGCCTCCGCCACTTGTGGAAAGCACTTTTCTCTCAACTATTTTCACGAATCATCAACTATTCTATTGAGCACGTGATCGTAACACAACAGTTATGTGCCAAGTCCATTCTAAGACGCTCTTTACAGGGCTTTCGTATCGGTATTGTACGGGCCTTTCGTATCCACATTTTTAAGCGGCTTTCGTATCAGATATGGCTATACTTTAAAGTCTCACCTGAGTGCAGGGCTTTCGCAACGAAGAGTGCTAACTCTTTCACAGAGAAAAGGAACGGTAGAATCATGCATGAACAAACACTCATTTACAAGAAAACAGGAGTTTCGTAACGATAGGAATGCACAACGCACTCACTCAAAGATAGCAATATCCCTACTCTCTCTAGTAGTTTGACTGTCGAACTTCGTTGGATGAGTTGTTGTCATTCTCTTTTTCTCTCTTTTAGCAGTCTAGATTCGTTCGTAAAGGAGATCGGGTATATACATATACAAAGTTTTACCACTTTGTAACATAGAAAAGATCTGAAATATTCCTTTCATTTTTCAGCTGCACAGACTCTCTTTAGCTTCATCGATGATTACGACCTCCTTCTCTGACAGTCTGCAGATTAGATACCACACTGCATAAATTGTATATATGAAAATGAATGGAAGCACTTCGAACGTTCTTAATACACGATATCTATTCCTTTAACAGTATAGGGTGAACATTCTTAAACAGAAAAAAGCTGTTTGGTGTGTAACCACAGCGATGCGATGATATCTTTTTCCCAGCAAGTAAATCATCATTAAGCTTCGTTACGAAAGTCCTGTTGACATGCATTACTAGACAAAGATTTTTCTTACGAAAGTCCTGTATTGTCACAGTTACTTTGAGAACATAGAAGAAGATTTTTAAGACACACGTGAGATTTCTTTTTTTTCGTATGTTTTGTCTGTCTAACATTATCTTTAATTCTGCATGCTTGTTCATCTGCCACTTGTGGCATTTGTGATTTCTGCCTTTTTTGTTCTCTCCTCAACCATATAGTTGAGTTGAGTTGAGTTGTGGTTGATTTCTTCATTGAAGATTAGATTTTCTAAAGGATACTAGCTAGCTCAATCCTCTCTAATCTAATGTAAAACAAGGCGAAGAAAAACATTATTGTTTCCTAAAGAACAAAAATTATGTATTCTTCATCTTTTGGTAGCTCTTAAAAAATGAGTTCTTCAGAGAACAATTTATCTCCGACAGAGACCAAAAACCTGAAGAACAACACTTTCGTTCTTCATACAGTGTGATCTTCATCATCTGTGTTCTTCAGAGAACACAAAGTTGTTCTTCGGTTTTTTGGAAATTCTTAAAAAACCTGTTCTCTGAAGAACAAGTTGTCAGCCATTTTGTTCTTCAGAAAACTGAAGATTCTTGTTCTGCAAATCTTCGGAGAACACATATATAATCTCTATAGGGGACAAATAACGGTCATTTTTTTTTTGTTTTTTGAAGAACACAGATTTTTAACAGCGTCGATATTTGCGTCTGTGCGTTCGTTTAACTGTTTGAATTAACTTAGAAAATAGAAGAGATATTCTTCTAGTCACTATGTTATTATATAAAACAAGAGAAAAAATCATCATTCTCTCCCACAGTAAGCATTTATCTGAAGTAATAGACTGACATTCTTCAAAGCGCAATTAGTTTATAGCTAAATTCTTACATACATATTATTATCTAGTAAAATTATTTTTATGATCTTTATTAGATAAGACAGGCATATATTATTAATGGTAACGTTAGAATTGTTTTAAGTGGCAACTAAATAGATCATGTGTATTAAAAAATTCATGAAAAAACTTTGTATATGTAACGTGAGCATATTTTTTTATTCTAAATCTTCATTTTCAAACACATAAATTTATTTTACTTATTTTTTTACTTCACAGTTCAATAAAAATATAAGTTAACAGATGGAGAAAGTCGTTCAGTATACAATGAGTAGTTTTCTCAGATATTATAACAACATCTATAATTTGTTAAAATCTCAGCTAATAACAACCACGCACCATTTTATATTTAATTATAGAGTGAATTTTATTTCAATTTTTATTTTAAAATAAAACTAATTACATTTTCACTATGTGTTGTCATGAAAAAGAAATGCATAAAAAGGAAAGATCAGTTCTTCAACACTTTCAAACTAACGAGAAAAATTGTTAATTATCAAGGACCGAACTTTTTGAAGAAAAAAAAATTGAACAAAAAATAATATTTCAAAAGAAATGATACAAAATTCAAAAATAAAAGAATATACAGAGAATAGGTGTAACGAAACAAGACGGATGAGAAGAAATACTTATCTTTTTTACATATAATGTAAAAAATAGAAGAAGAAGAACAGTTGTCATCATCAAACTTTATTTCAAAAAACATTTAAACGACAATATCTACATCATATCGATTTTACGTTCAACAACATTTTTCTATTTTGCAATAAAACGTAAGTAAGTTTTTTTAACAGTACAAAAGACAGTGATCATCGAAAAAGTTTCAGAATTTAATTCAAACATAAATTCTATCAGTTATCAAACGAAATATTAAATATATAAATGACAAACTTAAAACTGGGGGTTAAATGAGAGAAAAAAAAAGAAATGTTTTCTATCGAGAAAAAAATCAGATAATTCCTATTGTTTACTTTTTTTATATATCAGTATATCAGTTTCTGATAGAAATCATCGATTTCTAAACATCTTTCTTTTTTGCATCATAAAATGGGTCTAACGTTCACGCTACCTGATCCTGCGTTAGGTATTCGTGCAGATAAAACAGACTCGTCTCATCAATCAAATATATAATTCTTTTTCAATATTTTGTGGAGTATAAATGTGTAATACAAGCTAAAGGATGGATACGACTACAATAGTTTTGAGACTAGCATCGTACATTTAATCATACATTCATGTACATTTTTATGGTAGAAATTATATATTAAAAGAGATTTTATTATAAACAAAGTATCTAATGCATTCAAGTTCTAGAGATAAATTACTATTTATTATTCCTATCTTACTGTTTTATACTTCTCTTTTATTCTTCTATAAGCATTTTGATAAACATGTTTTATTTCTTTTTCTAAACATATTTAAAAATATGATAATTTCCAAAATCGATATATTTGCATTTTACGCTATCTGTTAAATGTATACTTTCATAATATATATAGACTTGTCTATTAAATTCAACTTGTTTGTTTGTATAATGATGAGAGACTATTGTTGTTTTCCTTGCGTTGATAAAATACTCGTAGTAAAAAAAATAAATTGTCAATGCGATACTGAGAGTGTGCACGGCATGTCGTGGAACGCAGGCTGACATCGTGTCCACAGTACGTGCTAATTAACATCAATGTTCCACTGGTTGAAAGAGTGACAGGCAACGCTGCTGAATAAGTGTTCATAAAACTTACTTTATAGTGGCACGGATATACACCGGTGTCAGAATGAATGTCAGAATTTCTTACCGGTGCACACACTTGTGCACAACCAATACTGACAAAAAGCTTTGTTTTCATGTACCCGTTTGTAGTTAGTTATACGTACAATCTTTAACATGTTATTTTAAACTGGAATAGGATCAGATGGTGCATGAGTATAAATAGCATAGATAAAATTATTTTTGTTAGTTAATCAATTATTTGCTGTTTTTATGTATTTTTATTCAGAGCATAATTTAAGCATCCATTGTGATATCATGAAATGATGCATGATCAAATATTTCTAAATAAAAGTTACTCTAGAAAGATTATATCTAGTAGAAAAATAAGTCAATTTTTTACTTTTTTCTGGTTTTAGTATAAAAACAAAATAAAAACGTATCGATACGATGGTTAATATTGTCAATGAACTTCAACCATCGTCAACTACTATTGAACGTTTAACAATTCTTGTATTTATTGCCGCCATTGTTATTGGTAATTTATGTGTATTCGTCACATATTTTGTTCGTACAGAAGGAAAACATTGGACACATATCTTTATATTGTCAATGGCATTTATTGATTTATTCATCGGCTCATTTGTTTTACCTGTGCGATATATGTCTGTTTATTCTGGTCAATCTATCAATTCTCGGCTATGTGCTGCATTAGCCATTGGTGAAAGTTGTGCAATCGCAGCTGTACTGTATACTATTGGTATTTTAAATTTTATGAGAATCTATGAGACATTCAGTCAAGCATCACTCTCAGTGAAACGCTTATTAATCACAGCTATTATCCTTTTAACATGGATCATTTTTTTCTTATTCTATGGTATTCCTTACATGACTAATTACTCATCTTATCTTCAAACAATAACGAGTAATAATATCACTGAATTTTGTGTACATTACACAGTGGGTACCTATCATCCAAAATGGATGGAGATTACTGAAATGATTGTTGTCTATGTTATACCTATGTTACTGATTCTTACAAGTACTGGATATTTAACACGTTTATTATGTATACCGCGACCAAAATTCCAGAAAACGGAAAAAACTGAGAGAAAAAAATATCAAGAATCTGTTCAAACAACGTGGCATGTTTATATTTTATCTCTTACACTTTTATGTTTATGGTTACCATGGATTATCTTGAGAATAATGTCCTTTTTTTACATTAATCAAATTCAACAAGCTTTACAGATCACCTATTATATTTTAATATTTAAATGTGTTTTATTTCCATTGATGTATGCTGGTACTAATCCATCATTTCGTGGTTCATTTGCTCTTTATAGACATAAACGAGTAGTAATGAACAATCGAGTTTGGGTGATGAACGAAAATTTTCGTCCCGGTAACTAACTAATCTTACTATTGTAAATAAAATTCATGTTCAATAAATAATAAAAAATAAACTAATTTAACACCATTTGGCTCTACCAGGTCCTATACAAGTACCCTTTCTCAATCGTCCATGGAATAGATATGAGAAAAACTTTACTTTCATCCAGGTATTAATAGCCATTATTAAAACTTTATTGTTGAATTTTTGTTACCAGGGTGACGAACACAAAGAAGCATTTCTCAGTAGAAAGGACTACTTATCATGTCACTCATGTGATAACAAAATGTCTACTAATATCTAAGAATACACTGCTTTTCTTGGTCAAGTATTTATATAATTATTTTCGAACAAAAGAAAAAAAGGAAGTATTTTCAAAAAATCTTTCATAAGTGTCATACAAATCAAAAAAACATTATTTTCAATTTTCTTTGACTATATTGACAAAGAAGATAGCAACTTTTATTAGACATATTGAGAATACTGAGATGTTCACTTTTGATAATTTTATGTCAGTGAAAATAAAATTTTATTAATAATTTCTTTGTTTTAGAGTCAATGCCTGTTAATTTAAGTTTTCTTTTTACATAATTGTGTATTACATTTTTTTGATTGTGAATATGCTCCTGTACAATTATAACCAGCTAATAATGAGTCTTCACTAGTTTCTGGAATAGACGGTGGTGGATCGGTACATGTTCGATTTCGTTGTTGAAAACCAGTACCACAAGGCTTTGTACATGAACTCCAAGGAGACCATTCCGAAAAACCACCATCAACTAAAAATATTCGGTTTAAAATTGATAAATACAATTATCTATTTTTTTAACTATATTTACCAATACATCTCGCAACGATGGCAGATAATTCGCTAATATTTTTTGTCGTTAGACTTCTATCATATTTACATTCGTAAAAACTTTTTTCGGTACCATCACAAATTATTCCCGGATAACATGTAGCAGTATGTTTTATTTGATTCAAAACAGCTACATGATTTTAAGATCACAATATGAATCTTTGATAGAGTTTATGTTAGTCTACATACCGTACTGAGCACCACGTTGTAAACCAATTGATTTACATACCTAAACTTCGATTAAATATCCTCAGCAATCAGAATAGGAAAAAATGAAATGACATTTCTTACCAAATCGGCCATATGTTTTGCTATTTTTCCACTTGTGGAACTCACACATAATATATCACCTTCACGTATTGATAAATAACCCTTGAGTGGATATTTTTCTGGTTCAGTTTGTTTTATACCTGTTTCAAAAACATAACTCTAATAAAAGATGTTAAGAAGGAAGATTGCCTTTTCTCATACCTGCCACTTTTTGACAGTTGACTTCACCACATGCCCGTTGTTCAAATGTATAATTTCCACAACTGGATCCGGGTGGTATGCAGGATCTATTTCGTTGTTTGTAGCCAATACCACAAAATGTTGAGCACGAAGTCCATGGAGACCATGGCCCATACACTAAAAAATAAATGAATTTTTAGTAAAAACATATTGATATACAGAAAGATGCAAAAAAACCTACATGGACACTTTGTGATATTACACGGTTGAATTTCAAGACCTTTACCAATACAGTTTTCAAATGCAGTTTCACGGCCATCTTTAAGACATCGCCGTTTTCGTGATCTATAACCTTCACCACATGTTACGCTACAACTTCCCCACTCACTCCAGTCTGCCCAATTTCCCACATCTGGAAAACGAAGAAGTGAACAGTTATAAATTTTCCATTGATTCAATAATGCAGATAATTCTGATGCTTCGTTTAGGGCCCTAAAAGTAATGCATACCAATTTTCTCACAATCTTCACTTGTTGATCTGCCATTTAAACATACACACGTTGGTATACGTTCCATATTTTCATTATAATCAATACAAATGGTATCTGGTTTACATTTCTTTTTATCACATGCATTACTTGATAATTCAGTTCGCTAAAACTTTCATTACTTACTAAAAATAATATTTCGATCATTTTTGTACTTACCCATTTTTTGACTTTTTCATTTACTTGCATGTTGACTTTTTCAAATAGTGAGCATATTCTAGTTTGGACTAAATAGGAATAACCTGTACATGAATGATGTTTAACACATTCAACAGCACATTGATATTCGTTGTACAATTCAATATCTACAAATGCTGTTGTCGTTTGATCATCAGATGATAGTTGAAGATTTTGAAGGATAACGCTATCAAGCTCCATAGTGTTTTTAGTCGCTACAGAACAATAACAGATAATCAACAATACGAATAAATGTATTCTTGAAATGTTTGACGCGGATTGCGGCATTTTACAGTTATGAGAAAAAGAAAAAAACTTGTTCTACGATGATTTTACTAATATATATATGTGTGTGTACATTTGGGAATATTATTTGCTTATTAATGAAAAATTTAAGATTAATCAGTCCTACATTTGAGAGTTGTGGAATTTTTTTTCAAAAATATACTGTTTCTTTGTTGACAATAATAATCTTTAAAAGTCACCGTTGTTCTATTCATTGTGTTTCGTTCAATCGATTAGCTCATAATTTGTGCAAGTACATATACACACGAGATAGATATCAAACGTTTGGAAAAACAACAATTAGATTTGAAGACAAATGAATTATTAATATTAATATGCTCAATAATAGAGTTCCCTGGATAAAAACAGAACAGTTCTACGTGAACGGTTAAACGTGATTAATACAGTGCGAAGCATAGACCGCCTTCAAGAAAATAAACTGCATATTTACTTTTTAAGGTACAAAACTGTCATTTTCTGTAACGATTTTCTCGTAAACTACTTAGAAGGACTACCGTAAAATTTTAAACGAGAGCAGTGAGCTGTGAGGCCAAATTAGTAAATGTCGTCGTTTGAGACTTTGTGACTAATCCAGTTATTAACCCTAAGGCCCAAAGAAGGTGTTTTGTATGTTTAAGACTTGTAGTTTTTTCAAAAAGAAAACGAATAATTAATCTGAGTCATACTAACACTTTTAAAGCAGAGTGTCCGCATATCGTGTGATTCACTTTATGATTCTATACGTATTCAACGAATAATTAAAGCAATGACTAGCTACTAGACGCCTTACTGTGTTATAGATAATAACGCAGTGTGTATGATAAAATCTCTAGGTTATGATAAAGGTTGGAGCATAGTTGGAAGAGAGAGAGCATAATTATGGTAGAACGTTTGTTTAACAAGGGAATTAATCAGTTTCGATTTTCACTCTTCCTCCGAGGTTGTATCCAAGTCAAGATAAAGCATTCAAACTATCTACTTTTTTCGAAATTCTCTAAAATTTCTCTTGTTCCAGCATATTCGCAACTTTCGCTAGCGTAATTGCTGTCTAGTTATATATATGTCTGCAACTATTTAGTAAAATATCTT